CAGCATATTGTCCAAGCCGACTCGTTTCCATGCCTACTGCAAGCTTTGTCAATTGCTCTTCCCAGCTTCAGCAGCACCGACAACAACGCGGACATCTTCGTGCCCAAATCTACGCTTCGCCGGTGGTTCCAAACAGGGCAGCTTCCGCCATTGCAACAGCAAGATCCCTGGACTATGGAGTATGAGAACGTTTTCACTGTGGCCATGAACAAGCCAAGCAAGCGTACTTCCTCTGTCACCGAAACCAGCAGCATCTTCGACCAGTGGTTGCACAACAACTCCTGGACGTTCTGTCCGGCTTGTGGCCGCCGACGTCCCACACAGCCCGACACAACGAAGAATCTGTGTACACAGCCTGTTGCAGTTTCTTGCAAGCGAAGCTGCGATCCCGATGCCTACGACCTCCTCTCGGCGCCTACTTCGGTGAAGTTCGGCAAGCTCATGACCTATGTCACGCCAGATAAACGCTACTGGAAGCATTGGACTGATAGCCTCGCGACTGGTATGCCACTGTCTTCTGTCCTTTCCACAGAAGACATGCAGGGACTTGCCGTGGCCACCATCAAAGTCGAGTTTCGTTCTCGTCGAGGTGGACATGCCGAAGTTTGCAGCTACCAGAAACGGTCCGTTGTCAGAGTGCAATGGCGCGCAGGATCTCTCTACGACATCCCTCGCACAGCTGCCGGCGCGGCAGCTTTCAAGTGGCTCCTCGAGCACAACAGCACTTACAAGGCGTATGTGGAGCAGCATCACCAGTTGGTTCGCGGCAACGCCGACAGCTCCGAACTCTGGCAGGAAATTCAAACAGCGGAGTTGCTTTTGCGTTCCCCCGGCATCGAGGTCGCTGTATGTCCCTGGCTCTACCCTTTGTCCAGCTTCGCAGACAGCGACATCCACGAGCGACTACAAGTGCTGGGATGGTGTCAAGAGAACAGCAAACCAAGCATGAGGGCAAGTTTCTTTAGAAAAATTACAAGCCGGTGCTTGGACTATGCACGGAACTTCCCGCTGCACTGCTTGATTTACGACACATGCCTGGCACGCACCTTTTCTTCTGTCGTCAACATCGCTGACCAAAAAAAGGTGTCGCCAGAGACGGTTTCCAGCGACATGGACATGTTTCAGCCTTACTGGTACCGGCAGGTCCAGAAGATGGAAGATGTGTGTCGACAAGAAAGTCAAGCATGTGGCGACATAGCGGGAGGCTTGCCGACGATCTTCTTTACAGTTGCACCCGCGGAGTGGAAGTATGTGCTTCAGAAGACGCTCTTTGTGGATGGCTCCCTGAGTGACCAGCAAGACTTCTTGACACTGCACTTGTATCACACCATGGGAGCTCTGCTGGACATGCATTTGTTCAAAGAAGGCATTAGCCTGGCGGATGTTGGGATTGCCAGAGTCAGGCAATGGTCCCTGCGCTATGAATTCCAAGCACGAGGAACGATCCACATCCACGCAGTCATGTGGGCAGACCTCTTGCCCGGATGGAGACCAGAGGATGTAACCGGACGCACGGGATCTAACACCTCCAAATTCGTGGAATTGCTCGAGAAACTGTTCCACTCACGAGCGGACGTGCAGTGCGGAGATGGAAGTCACGTGTTGCTTCGCTACGTAGCCGGGTACGTGAGCAAAGCCTCGGACTGCCTTGTCTTCGAGCCGAAGCAAGCCCACAACCAAGAGGACATGACGCGGTGGCGGCAAGTATACCGATTGCTCTGCAAGCGGTCACCCATGGCACAGGAAGTCATCATGGAGTTCGCCGGCTTGCCCATGGTGAAACATTCTTTTACCGGCATCGCCATGTATCCGCCAATTCCCGGAAGCAACCCGAAGAACTCCTCGCGACATCACTACGATGTCTACCAGTACTTCTTGACTCAGAACCCAGACGTCCTCGGCAGCGCAGTGGGCCTATGCTATATGGAGTGGCTGCGGAAGTTTCGCGTGACAAGTGCTCCCACGGCCGCCTCGCCAACAGTCGTCCTCAGGAACAATGCCGGCCCTGGCAGCAACAAAACCTGTGCCGTAGCAATGCAATTTCCCTTTGAATTGCTCGACATCTACATCGGCGCATGGGCGGCTTGCTTCCTGAAGAACATGCTCGAAGTGCGCTTGACGCCCGACACCGAGCAGGACACAGACGTGTACCCCAGGGTGCACGCGGCCGAAAGAGTGCGCCGCGCTTCTTTTCGAGCGCCGGAAGGTTGCCAGCACCTCAAAGCCGTGCTCTGCCTGGATATGTTCCAGACAGACAACGCTCCCCCGAACGTTTTCTCGCCCGATGCCGGCAAGTTGCTGGCTGCGATGCAGGATGAGCTTTCCTTGCGAGCAATCGGCGCAGACCGCGAGGCGACCTTCAAAGCTAGAGTCCATGCTTGCACCCTGCTGCTCCTCGCCATTCGCGACGGTCGGGAGGACGCGGCCATGTGGTCCGCAAAGCGAGTGCCCAATCCGCCAGAGCACATTTGGTCTCCGGAGCAAGCTGAAGTCTTACGACTTGTCAAGGATAACCTGTCAGTCGCCGACGCCGCATCCACCTCCCCTCATGTTCTGCGAGTCACCGGAGGTCCTGGCACTGGGAAGACCGAGGTTATCATTGCGGCCGCTCAGCACGCACTCAAACAAGGATGTCGTGTCTTGATAGCAGGACCCATCGGGCTTTTGATGAGCATGTACAAGCTTCGTCTCCCTGCGGATGAAAACCTGGTCATGGAGACAATCCACTCCTCCTTCAGAATCGTTCGAGACGCCGATGCTGCATACAGTCCTCCTGGAAGACTGAAAACCTTCGACATGATCATATTTGATGAAGTCAGTCAGATAGATGCCATTACATGGAATTACCTCAAGATCGCCCTCAGCGAGCTCAGCAACCGCCCCTTCATCATTTTTGTCGGCGACTTCCAGCAGCTGCAGCCAATTGCAGGGCCACCTCGGCTAGAAGAAGATCTCGCGGAACAAATCGATCAGGGAACCGTGCTCGCTGTAGAACTTCAGCAACACCAAGGAGCACGCTCTGTGGATCCGATCATGCTCGACTTTCTGCAGCATTGCAGAGTACAGCAGCCAAGTCGAGCCGAGATTGAGAACTTCTTCCACGAGCGACTATGGCCCGCCGACATCCGGGACGCCGTTGCAAGGGCCAGGCGCATCGAAGGCGAAACGGATGACTTCACCTTCTTGACCGTGACAAACCGTGGTGCCAAAACCATCAACATGGCCTGTCTCGCCCGAGACTATCCTTCCGAAGCTCTGCAATTGGAGCAAGGCCGTGGAATACCCGCCGAAGCCGACCACATCATCGTCAGCCCGGGTATGCGCCTTCGTTTGACGCACAACGTCGACAAGGATCGCGGCTTCGTCAATGGAGCGACTGGTAAAGTGCAATCTGTCTTGCGACAAGATGTTTTCATACTCAAGTCCAGTCAGAATGTGCCCATTCTGGTGCATCCAATCACGCTCCGTGGCCGGAAGTACTTGCCGGTGTCTTACGGTTGGGCCACAACTATCCGACGTGCGCAAGGGGCAACTTTGAACAAGATTGCCCTCTGGTTCGACAGACGTGTGGCCGACAAGGGCTATGCCTACGTCGGCCTCTCTCGCGCCAGAAAAGCAACGGATGTCTATCTCATCGGCAAGGTCCGTCGCACAGACTGGCGAGCCGTAGGCGCCAACAACGAGCAGCTTCGGCCATCCCATCTCAGCGACACCACCGAGACGGAGGACAGTCGATCGGCCACTGATTTCCAGGAATCCGAAGAAGAACCCAACGACTCCGACTTCGACGACGACGAGCCCAGCACGAATGGATTCCCGAACACCAGTGAAGAGCCTGACACATCCGGCCGCACAGATGAGCCCAGCACGGATGCTTTCGAGTCCACCGAGGACGAGTTCAACAGCTTCGACTTGGAGAACTTCCGCGACGAGTCAAGCACACCTACCTTTGAGCCAGCCTCTGACAGCTAGACACAACTTTTGTTTGAACCAGCCTCGGACAACTGGACACAACTTTTGTACAGCTTCGATGTTAAGTCCGGCTGCGCATAAGTCGCACCAACAATGACAACGTTTTCTAGCAAAGTTGCGCGTAAGTCGCAGCCATACAAGCCAAGCCTCATAAAAGAGCACAGCGTCTTGCTTACGATGCTTCCAAGCTTTGCATAGTGCAACTCCCCAACCCACCCTAGATCCTTCAAAGCTTTGCCCGGCTTAAGGTTGCTTCGACACCTTCCTGCACATCACTTCCAAGGCTCGCCTTAACCGCAGCTCTTCAGCCGTCCTAGATCCTTCAATGTCCGGCTGCGCGTAAGTCGCACCAACAATGACAACGTTCAGTTGCGCGTAAGTCGCAGCCATACAAGCCAAGCCTCAAAAAAGAGCACAGCGTCTTGCTTACGATGCTTCCAAGCTTTGCATAGTGCAACTCCCCAACCCACCCTAGATCCTTCAAAGCTTTGCCCGGCTTAAGGTTGCTTCGACACCTTCCTGCACATCACTTCCAAGGCTCGCCTTAACCGCAGCTCTTCAGCCGCCCTAGATCCTTCAATCAAGAATGTCCCCAACCCACCCTAGATCCTTTCTAAGAGTTTATGCTTTGCTCAGCTTACATGGACAATTCGTGGTCCAGGCCCAAAACGTCTGGTGACCAGATGTTTGGACAGATGTTTGGAGGATTCGTGGTCCAGGCACGTTTTGGGCAATGTCCGGCTGCGCGTAAGTCGCACCAACAATGACAACGTTCAGTGCGCGTAAGTCGCAGCCATACAAGCCAAGCCTCAAAAAAGAGCACAGCGTCTTGCTTACGATGCTTCCAAGCTTTGCATAGTGCAACTCCCCAACCCACCCTAGATCCTTCAAAGCTTTGCCCGGCTTAAGGTTGCTTCGACACCTTCCTGCACATCACTTCCAAGGCTCGCCTTAACCGCAGCTCTTCAGCCGCCCTAGATCCTTCAATCAAGAATGTCCCCAACCCACCCTAGATCCTTTCTAAGAGTTTATGCTTTGCTCAGCTTACATGGACAATTCGTGGTCCAGGCCCAAAACGTCTGGTGACCAGATGTTTGGACAGATGTTTGGAGGATTCGTGGTCCAGGCACGTTTTGGGCCTGGACCACGAATTGTCCAAACATCTGGTGACCAGATGTTGGAGATTCGTGGGCAGGCACGTTTTGGGCCTGGACCACGAATTGTCCAAACATCTGGTGACCAGATGTTTGGGGGATTCGTGGTCCAGGCACGTTTTGGGCCTGGACCACGAATTGTCCAAACATCTGGTGACCAGATGTTTGGAGGATTCGTGGTCCAGGCACGTTTTGGGCCTGGACCACGAATTGTCCAAACATCTGGTGACCAGATGTTTGGAGGATTCGTGGTCCAGGCACGTTTTGGGCCTGGACCACGAATTGTCCAAACATCTGGTGACCAGATGTTTGGAGGATTCGTGGTCCAGGCACGTTTTGGGCCTGGACCACGAATTGTGCAAACATCTGGTGACCAGTTTGGGCCTGGACCACGAAAACCATTAAGGTTTAAATTACTATATGATAAAGAGGTTTAGGGTTTAGGGTTTAGGGTTTAGGGTTTAGGGTTTAGGGTTTAGGGTTTAGGGTTTAGGGTTTAGGGTTCAGCAGCTCCGTGTCGAGCAGTTTTAAAGTAGTGTTGTGTCTATGGTTTAAGAATAACACCCACCCACCCTCAGAATCCCATAACATTAAGAAAATAGAGGGTTTTTTTTCATTCTTCGAAGCACCTATCTACAACTTAGCTTCACACACCTCTATGACTATGATGTTATAGTCAAACCCTAGGCTCTAAACTCCACTACTGCTTGGTTAAAGGCCAGCACGAGAATGTTGTTGTTCGGTCTCCGTGGACATTCTCTTCAGACGCTTCCAGTTGCTGTTGTCGCTAAACCCTAATGTGCTTATGGTGTCAACACAACCAGCTGAAAGATTAAAGTTGCGGAGCTGCTGAATTCTAAACCCTAAACCTTACATACAACTATTACAGATCGTAACTTTCTACTCCTTCGCTCAAGCAAGTGCTGTTTCTTTACAGTCGTTCTTGCAACACACTTCACTTTAAGAGTTAATGCTGCCGACCAGCTTTCTAAGAGAGCTAGTTAAGAAACGCAACATCGCCCTAACCCGCCGAAGCTGCGGTCACGCCATCGCTTTACGATAGCAACCATAGCTGTCAAGTGTCATGACTTGAATCTCCTCAACTAGCAACCACAGCTATCCAGCTTTCTAAGAGAGCTAGTTAAGAAACACAAGATCGCTTTAATTCGCCGAAGCTGCGGTCACGCCATCGCTTTACGATAGCAACCATAGCTGTCAAGTGTCATGACTTGAATCTCCTCACCTAGAACAGCTATCGAATTCGATTTCAATGTTTCCACATCGGACTGTGTCCACTGCCTGACAACATTGCCTCCAACAGTTGCAGCTGCGGTCACGCCATCGTTTTACGATAGCGCAACCACAGCTATCAAGTTTCTTTGCGATGACCGTTGTGCTGAAAACCTTCACCGCCAGGCTTCCAAAGACCTTTTCGCGCGCGCGCGCGCGCGCGTTGTTGGCGGGTCAGAGGCAGCAGAGCCGGGCTTCGCCTCCGGGGGTCAGAGCCTCGCCTTACTCCTCCAGGCCGCTGCTTACATGTCGCGAGGCTTGTCTGCACCATCTCGCAAAAACGCTTTTTTTTTGAAAATTGCAAGAATTTTCAATGGCTTCCACGATGACTGCTTTCGACGACAAAGAAGCTTCTTGTGCTACACATCATGACATGTGTACAACATCGATCCATATCGCTTCTTAATCGACGTCAACTAAAGAACTCTACATCATTTGAAGTTCTTCGACGGCTTACATACGTTCCGAAACGAAGTCACAGCCATCCAAACAACAACCACGCAGAATCAAAACGACGCCCTTCGCAGAATCACGGCGACACCCTTCAGCGGAGCACTGCGTCACACTTCGCGGGTCCTCGACCGGACGAGCCTACGTCATTTGAGCTCCTCTGTCTGTTTGCGCCCTTCCCGAAGATAGCCTTTCAAACGAAAAATTTGGTGTTTGAAAGGGCCCGCGGGGCCAACGCAGAATCAACCCTACAACAGTTCACGCGGACCCTGCAATCAAAAGGGTAAGCTCGGGAGTGGGTTTGCGGACATAGTTTGACCTCCCCTGTCCATCTATGGCCCTCCCGCGGCTCCCCTTGAACACCAGTTTCCGCATGAAGGGTCGCAGAATGCAGAATCACATTCGCACACCCTTCCTGCGGAAAATGGTCTTCAAGGGGAGCCGCGGGAGGGCCATAGATGGACAGGGTAGGTCAAACTATGTCCGCAAACCCACTCCTGAGCCCACCTGAAGGCTTACAGTATCCCCATGAACTGTGTCAGATTGATTCTGCATTCCGCGACCCTTCATGCGGAAACTGTTCTTCAAGGGGAGCCGCGGGAAGGCCATAGATGGACAGGGGAGGTCAAACTATGTCCGCAAACCCACTCCCGAGCTTACCCTTTTGATTGCAGGGTCCGCGTGAACTGTTGTAGGGTTGATTCTGCGTTCTGCGACCCTTCATGCGGAAACTGTTCTTCAAGGGACCCGCGGGAGGGCCATAGATGGACAGGGGAGGTCAAACTATGTCCGCAAACCCACTCCCGAGCTTACCCTTTTGATTGCAGGGTCCGCGTGAACTGTTGTAGGGTTGATTCTGCGTTGCCCGCGCGGGCGCCCTCAAACACAAAATTTTGGTATCTTCCAGCGGGCTTCGGGAGGGCCGCAAACAGACAGAGGAGCTCAAATGAGGTAGGCTCCTCCGGTCGAGGGCCCGCGGGGTGTGAGAGAGTGATTCTGCGGAGCGTGTCGTTTTGATTCTGCGTGGTTGTTGCTTGGATGGCTGTGAGTTTGTTTCGGCACGTATGTAAGTCGCTGAAGAACTTCAAATGATGTAGAGTTCTTCACTTCAAGGCCGTTAATGATCGATGTAGTTGCATATCCAGCTATGTTTGCATTGAGTATTTGTTTCGCTGGAGTTCGCATCTCGCTTAGGGATGTGACTAGTTGCTTTGCAGCGAAAGATGTGTGAGCACCACAAGTTCACTTTGTCGTCGAAAGCAGTCATCGTGGAAGCCTTTGAAAATTCTTGCAATTTTCAAAAAAAAAGCGTTTTTGCGAGATGCTGAAGAAGAGCCTGGCGACATGTAAGCAGCGGCCTGGAGGAGTAAGGCGAGGCCCTGACCCCCGGAGGCGAAGCTCGGCTTTGCTGCCTCTGACCCCCCAACAACGCGCGCGCGCGCGCGCGCGAAAAGGTCTTTGGAGGTCTGGCGGTGAATGGTTTCAGCTGAACGGTCATCGCAAAGAAACTTGATATGATAGCGGTGGTTGCTATCATAAAACGATGGCGTGACCGCAGCTGCAGCACACCAAAAGCAAACCCTAGCAAAGCAGTTCTCGTGTCTTTGAAGACAAGAGCAAAACGCACATAGACGTCACCGATGTGCGTTTTGGATTGGCCAGGGTTGTCGCTGAACGGTCATCGCAAAGAAACTTGATATGATAGCGGTGGTTGCTATCGTAAAACGATGGCGTGACCGCAGCTGCAGCACACCAAAAGCCAACCCTAGCAAAGCAGTTCTCGTGTCTTTGAAGACAAGAGCAAAACGCACATAGACGTCACCGATGTGCGTTTTGGATTGGCCAGGGTTGTCGCTGAAAGGTCATCGCAAAGAAACTTGATATGATAGCGGTGGTTGCTATCGTAAAACGATGGCGTGACCGCAGCTGCAGCACACCAAAAGCCAACCCTAGCAAAGCAGTTCTCGTGTCTTTGAAGACAAGAGCAAAACGCACATAGACGTCACCGATGTGCGTTTTGCATTGGCCAGGGTTGTCGCTGAACGGTCATCGCAAAGAAACTTGATATGATAGCGGTGGTTGCTATCGTAAAACGATGGCGTTTTCTTGCAGTACCTTTCATTAAAACTCGCGGACAAGCACTGACCGCAAGAGACATGTTCTAGGCTTGAATAAACTAGAGCTGTGGCTCTATGAGAGCAAGCCCTGGTTCAAGTTTTGACAACTGCTTTAACTCTCGAAGTCGTGATTACCTTATTAGGGTAAGGTCGTGGCCATCTGCAACAGCCGAGCAAGTGCTTCTTGCCAGCGCCTGAGTCAATTTGTTCCTAGCACTGCATGCCGTGCTCATTTGTTCGACGGCTTAAAGCAAGACTTGAGCTTCAGCACTACTCGGTGAAGTGGTGCATGTTCGCATGTCACTAGTCTGCGGCCACATAGCTTAGCAGCCGGAAAACCATATACCTGAGGCACCGAAAACGCGGTGGCTTTGGTGGTCAGAGCCTTGTTGGCCACACCATCACTGCAGAGGATTGCTTCTGCTTCAGACATAGCACATCGCTGGCTGTATCATGTGTTGTTGTGCATTCGTTCTTCGAAGTATGCTTGACCCACAGCTCTTTGCTTCATGGTTCAAGTTTTGACAACTGTTTTAACTCTCTAAGTCGTGATTACCTCATTGTGGTAAGGTCGTGGCCATCTGCAACAGCCGAGCAAGTGCTTCTTGCCAGCGCCTCAGTCAATTTGTCCACTAGCACTGCATGCCGTGCTCATTTGTTCGACGGCTTAGAGCAAGACCTGAGCTTCAGCACTACTCGGTGAAGTGGTGCATGTTCGAATGTCACTAGTCTGCGGCCACATAGCTTAGCAGCCGGAAAACTATATACCTGAGGCACCGAAAACGCGGTGGCTTTGGTGGTCAGAGCCTTGTTGGCCACACCATGACTGCAGAGGATTGCTTCTGCTTCAGACATAGCACATCGCTGGCTGTATCATGTGTTGTTGTGCATTCGTTCTTCCAAGTATGCTAGACCCACAGCTCTTTGCTTCGAGTGAGAATAGTAGCAAATTGCCTAGCGATCCCAAATGTGGAAATTGAAGCCATGCGCTAGAGTCATCGACCTCGACATTGAATGCAGCGAGCAGAAGGATGTTGGCACTGTGACCAAAGAAGAAAAGAAAACAACTTCTATGCTCGTGAAACTCGAAAAATCCAAGCTCATTCACAAGAAGAACAAGAAGGCTGTCATCCAGGGCGACAAAGAAAAGCGGCCGCTGTTTACAGCCGCACCAGCTGCTGCATCGAATCGAGGAGCTTGCCTACGAGACCATTGGGCACCACACCAAGGACATGGTCTGTGTCGGAATCCAGCCTGCATCTTCGGAGAGTTCGGCAAAGCTGCGACGGCAGGCCCGGCAGGGTTATGCGATTTGTGCAACTTCAGCGACATGAAAGAGCTCTTGGAGCATGGACAAGGGCGGCTTACTCATCTACTACTGGAGCTGCCGGAGACAGAAAGCAACATTGCCCTAAGTCGCATCAAGCACGAGGTAAGCGAGAGTTTTGTGCAAGAGCTTCGCAGCAGAATGCAGCGAGCTCGGGCCCGCAAGAGAGCTGACCGCCCTCGACGAGGACCTCGAGGGCCCTACAAGAAAGTGACGCC